GCGCCCGCACGTCAGCGCCACGTAGAACCTGCCGCAAAGGCAAGGGCGGGGAGACGCTATCAAAGCGGGCTTTGGGGGGGGTGCGAGTAAGACGGGGGGGCTTTCCAAGCAGGCTCAAGCCAGGCGGCTTTGACGCGAGGACAGCAAAGAAGGCTCAAGGCACCCGTTTTTACTTGTCAGGGTGCGAGTCCACGATGGCCACGACAACCAGCTTCCTCCCAGGATGCATTCCGCCGCCAATGTCACCCCGGAAAGGAACCGCCTGCACGTGCGCATGCCAACACACATAAGTGCACACATCGGCGCGCACGCGCACACACACACGCACGCACATGCAGGCCAACACACAGCCAATTGTTCGCTTGGAGGTGCGATGTTGACAGCGGTTGTGCGTCTTGTAACAGATTGTTGTCCGTCAGCTGCTGGCCGCCGCCGCTGCCGCCGACTCGGGCCTCGGTGCTGTCAATTTTCCATTTCTGGCAAAAAAAAAAAAAAAAAAAATGGACATGGGTCAGCACACATTTTGATTCATGTGGTTTCTCGAATCAAATAATGCAGTTGTTGGGCCCCAGGAAATAGAACTGGCTCTGATTTTTTTTTTTTTAGTACATCAAGAGTCACTGTGGACGGAAGGGCCGCAACTAAAAATATTTAATATTATTCTGTTGATTGATTGATTTATTTATTTATTTTTTGATCAATTGATTCATCGCAAGATTTCCACGGCACGTCAACTCACTTTTATTTTGGGTAGACCCTGATACCGGAAATGCCTCGGCTTCGTCGCCGGGCGATGTCAAATGACGCCTGTCAAAAGTCTCCAAAATCGTTAACCGACGAAGGCACAAGCCACGCGTGACGATATCGTCGCTGACGACGTCGTTTTTTTTTTTTCTGTGACAAAGTCGCAGGGCAGCTTTTTGAACTTTTACCTTCCTCTCGCGCGTCGTCGTCGCTCGCAAGCCGGTGGCCATGTTGGAACGCGTCGCGCGTGACGTATAATCGCGAATGAGCACAAACCGTCAAGTTGGCGACTTCCTAGAATTGTTTACGACGAACAAAATGAATGAACATTTATCGTAAAATGATCCTCAAACAATTTAAATTTGTTGACACCGAAGAAAGACGTAGATGTTAACTCCAGTTTTTTTTTTTTTTTTGTGGTGTCTATATCATTGTTAGTTTATCTTTGTTTTTGTTTTCATATACCACGTTTAACCTTCCCGGAGTGTTTTGTGAATTTAGGAGGGTTTGTATACCATTTGTACATTTTACATTTTCTACGTTTCGTACACTTTGTTTGGGATTACGGTTTCTTCGCCTAAAAGAAAACTCGACTCTTATCAAGCCGATTTAATTTGATGGGAACACGCCCCTTCCAACATGGTCGCCACGCAGCACGGCGGCGAGCCGTCTTGTGTGACGTTTCGCCTCGTCATAGTTGCGCCATTGGTTAGAGGTCATCCCAACCCGGAAGCAGTGAAGCGCGCTGCCCGGAAAGGTCGCGATGATCGGCGGCGCGACGTACGGGAGACTCCTGCGGGCCTCAGCTTCGCGCTGGCGGGTGGCCGAAGGCCGCCGTAGGTCGTCGCGTTCAGTGTTCGACCGAAGCATGAAGAAGAAGCAGAAGGAGTGGGCGGGCTCGGGCCGCGACACCCGGAAGTACGACTACCTACGGGACGAGGTGAGCGCGATCGTTGCAAGTCCTCGAATTGCTCGTCATTGTTGGGCTTTAAAATATCCAACATGGCAATGAAAGTCTTCGTTGACCAAAAAGCTCGTAAAACAGCTCAAATTCTCCCCTCAGGGTGAATGAGATCCATGAATCCCTCGTTTATCGCGGGGGTTACGTTCCAAAAAGAACCAGTGATGAGTGAAATCCGTGAAGTAGGGAAAAATACAATGAAATCAAAGACCAAGGCCCAATTACAAAAAAAAAAAAAAAAAACCCAAACGTTTTCAACAAATAACTAGAATCATTTTTGGAAATACTGTACCGCCGACACATTCTGATTTAAAGGGTTGAAAGCATTTCAAAAAAAAAAAAAAAAACGGCACTAAAAAAAATCCGTGAAACCTGCGGAAAGTGAACCGCGTTAGAGCGAGGGATCACCGTACTCGTCGATCTCCTGACATACTTCTCAACAGCTACCTAATAAGTCCACTCTTACGGTCGTATTCTCGCACCGATACTCTTGAATCTCCCGAATAACAAAGACCTGACCCGATTTGCTGTGTGTGACGTGCGTGCAGGTTGGCAGTCGGGTGGCGGATCGCGTGTACGACGTGGCCAGGTGACCTCCTGACGTCACGTGTCTGTTCGCGGTGGCGCTCTCGTGCGCCCGGTACTAAATGCGCTTGCCCTCGCAGGACCTTCCCCCTGGCGTTGGAGATCGGCGCCGGACGAGGTCACGTCGCTCAACATTTAAGCAGGGTTAGAGCGCCAACGAAAGCGGGCCAAAAAAAATGTCACTCTTGGGCGGCGCAAAAGCAACCTTTGCTTCGATGGCCGCTTCCGTTTATAGGACGCGGTGGAGCGTTTGTTTGTGACGGACATCTCCGAGGCCGCCCTGGTACGTCGCGGCCCGCCGACGCCTTGTTTTGTCGTTTTGAGGAGCGGGCGTCGACGTGTCACTTCCCGTCCCGTCTCCAGAGGCAGAACGTCGGCGGCGAGATGCGGTGGCACGCCCTGGCGGCCGACGAGGAGTTCCTTCCTTTCCGCGAGAACTCTTTCGACCTGGTGCTCAGCAGCATGAGGTGACGAGCGGCGGCGCGTTCGCGACCGGCCGGCCGGCGCCGCTGACCTTTGCCCCCTTCGTGTCGCCCTCGCAGTCTGCACTGGGTCAACGACCTGCCCGGCGCGCTCAGACAGGTGAGCGCGGCTCTCGCGGGAACCGCGATGGCAAAGTTGTCTTCGGGGATCCGAGCGACCTGGCCGTCTGCTTCAGATCCAGGCCGTCCTGAAGCCCGACGGCGTGTTCATCGGCGCCATGGCCGGCGGCGAGACCTTGTACCAGCTGCGCTGCTCGCTGCAGCTGGCCGAGACGGAGCGGGAGGGAGGATTCTCGCCGCGCGTCTCGCCCTACACCGCCGTCGCCGACCTGGGCAACCTGCTGGGACAGGCCGGCTTCAACATGCTCACCGTGGTCAGGCGTCGTGCACCTCGCAAATTTGATCGCTCAAACGACAAAGAAAGCCCCTCCCTAAAATGAAAAGATTCACGCGCGGGCGGTTTTCAGGACACGGACGAGGTGCAGGTATATTATCCGGGCATCATGGAGGTGATGATGGACTTGCAAGGTAAGGCCAGCGTTGTTGACCTTCGTGTGACCTCCGTCGAAAGCACCTCAAGTGGCCCCCGTGTTTTATCGTTGTCCAGGTATGGGCGAGAGCAACTGCGCTTGGAACCGCCGCTCCGTGCTGCATCGAGACACCATTTTGGCGGCGGCGGCCGTCTACAAAGGTGCTTCGCCTTGCCACGCCCCCCGACGCCATTTGAAGCGGCCAATATATGTTTGTCGTGCCAACGAAAGCTTTCCTCCAGCGACTAACCGTGTGTGTGTGTTTGACAGAAATGTACGGTAACGAGGCAGGCAAAAGCGGCCAAACGAGGCTCGGCGACCGTCTCCTTTGGAGATTTGTCCAAAATCAACCGAAACGGTGATGACGAGTGAACTTTTGAAACGTCCCTCATTCATCGTTCGAGACGGCATATTTGCGTGACACGAACAGCGAGTGTGACATGCGTATTCGACACAAAACATGGGACATCCGTACTAAATGTGAACATTAAATTCTGTCTCTGAGATTTGTCCAAAATCAACCGAAACGGTGATGACGAGTGAACTTTTGAAACGTCCCTCATTCATCGTTCGAGACGGCATATTTGCGTGACATGAACAGCAAGTGTGACATGCGTATTCGACACAAACATATGGGACATCTGTACTAAATGTGAACATTAAATTCTGTCTCTTATTGAACTTGTTGCTTCCCTTCTCTCAAAATAAATAGGACGCGTGGAATCCGGACGACTTCGAACCGTTTGGGTATCAAATGTGTCCGTGTTGCACCGAAGGCAAGAGTTGATGTTTTCTTTTTCTATGTAGCTCTTTTTTTAACGGGGTTTTCTCTGTGGCGTGGCAGTTAAAATACTCTTAAAAATGTATTTGCGGGTTTGATGTGTTCGTAAAAGTATTTTAAGATGGCGTCCTCGATGACGCCTGATTCGCCGATGTCACTTCCTGTTTAGCCTCTTCCGGTTTGATTGCGGACGTACGGCGACCTGCTTTTTTTTTTTTTTTTTTCT